AGATAAACAATGATGAAATCATTTTTACCTTTCTTTTTGACATACAAGGTGGGCTTGTTCTCACTTCTCATGTACCCATTTTTTTCTAAAAATACCCATCGATCTTGCTATACTAAGCTCATATAGCCTCGCTTTAATCCATACAACAAAATTTTCAACTTGTACACCTTTATTTCATCGTCCTCCTTTATGAAACCTTCTAGCCGCGCTACATAGACCTCTTCTTGTAAATCTCCATTAAGGAATGTTGACTTGACATCAAATTGATAAACATGCCATTGCAATTGTGCAGCCAATGCTAGAACAAGCCTCACTCGTTTCAAAACAAGCTATCGATGACAAGGTTTCTTCGAAATCAACATCATATTGTTGTGCATATCCTTTTGCCATAAGATGAGCTTTGTGCTTTTACATGCTTCCGTCCGTATAATTTTTTTCTTGAATACCCACTTCAAACCAATTACATTTTTGCCTTCTAGTAAGTCAACCATCTTTCATGTTTCATTCTTTTCGATACCTTTCATCTCTTCCACTAATGCTTTCTCGCCACTCTTCTTTTGTAACTCGCTTCTCTATAATTTATAGGGTCTAAAATAGTAAGAGCAAACCGACAAGATGCATATATATCATTCAAAGACTATACTTTCTTGGTGGTGTCTCATCCGAAGACTTTTCAAGAGTTGTGAATGAAGAGTTTTTGGTTGGTGTTGCTGAAGTTGATGAACTTGTTGACGTCGTAGAGCAACCAAGTGGGTGAACTTGTAGGATTTGGCTCTTCTCTTTCATCCGAAGAGATTCCAATGGGCATAGGAATCTCTTATTACACCTATTCTCTACCCAATCCTAACTTGCATTTTCATCAAATACTACATCCCTTCTAATTGAAATCTTACCACTAAGAGGGTTATATAATCTGTATGCTTTGGATTGAGTATGATAACAATTAAAAATATATTTTTTAGATTTTTCATCAAGCTTTTGACGAATTTGAGAATTTACCGGAGCATAAGCAACACACCTAAAAATTCATAAATTACTTACAGATGATCTCCTTCCACGCTAAGCTTTATATGGAGTTTGATTCATGACAACCCTTGTTGGTGAGAGATTCAATAAATAGATGGATGTTGCTATAGCTTCGCCCAAAATTGGTTTCAAAGTCCCCTTAGTTGTAACATGCTTCTTGCCATCTCTAGAATGGTTTGATTTTTTCGCTTAATGACATCGTTTTTCTCTAGAGTGTAAGGAGTTGTTAACTCCCTATGGATGCCATTTTCTTCATAAAAAAAATTAAATTCTTTGGACACGAACTCTTTACCTTTATCTCGTGTGAAGAACTTTGATATGGCAGACCACTTTGCTTTTCCACCATAGCCTTAAATTTCGGAGCTTCTCAAAAGTTTTTGATTTGCTTTCCAAAAAATAAACCCAACTCATACGACTATAATCATCAATAAATAGCAAAAAATTATGACTCCCACCCAAGGACTCGGCTTGCATAGGCCCACATATATTAGCATGAATTAATTTTAGACATTTTGAAGCTCTACAAGCTTTTCCAATAGGAAATGACTTCCTAGTTTGTTTTCCATAAATACACCCCTCACTTATATCAATAGAACCAATTTTCGGTAATCCGTGAACCATACCTTTATCACCTAGCAAATTCAAGCCCTTAATGTTGAGATGTTCGTACCTCAAATGCCATAGCTTCAATCATCCTCTACACTTGTAGCAAGAGCAAAATTCTCCATGTTAGAAACATCCAATGGAAACATCTTGTTTGAAGTCATGTTGATATGAACCTTTTGGCCTAATTTCTTATTTTTAATGACACATGCATTGTCATCAAATAAAACGGAATATCCACCATCCATCAATTGTCCAATGCTCAATAAATTGTATCCTAGATCGAGTATAAATTGAACATTGTCCAATGCTTTTACTTTGCCATGGCTAGTGTTAACTTTCATCGTGCCTTTTCCTTCAACTTGCATATCCTTTTTGTTGCCACGCTGCACCTTTATCCTTTGCATCTCATCAAACTCTTGGAATAAGGATTTGGTGCCCGTCATATGGTTCGAACAACCACTATCTACAAACCATAAATCACTTGGTTTATGATTAGTATTAATACAAGCCATTAAAAACCTTGTTTTCTTCATTTTCTCGCTGCAAAATTCATCCTCTAATCTTTATACCAACAATTAGCTTCTATATGCTCGTATCCCTTGCAGGTGATAACATTGAATGCCACTCTTCATATTTTCTTGCTAATTGGACTACCTTTGCCCTTTATTCCTTCCTCTCGCCTCTACCGTTACCGTGACCACGACCGCGAGATCCTCCTCTTCCTTGACCTCTCGCTTGTTGAACGGTCACTTTCTCCATGTTTGGTGATTGTCTCCTTCACTTGAAATGCCTTCTCTTTGTTCTTTTCAAGTGATCTATTGATCCTTGACTCATGAGCTTGAAGAGATCCCATCAATTCATCAACAAAAGAACTCGACAAATCCTTAACTTCTTTTATAGCAACTATCACATGGTCAAATTTTGGAGTCAAGCTTAATACTTTTACAACGATCATCTCATCTAAAATTTGCTCACCGTAGGAGCACATTTGGCAAACTATTGCCATTGCTCTTGACAAAAAATAGCAATTGATTCACCATTCTTCATAATCAAAGTTTCAAAGTCACGTCTTAGTGATTACAATCTCACCACTATGACCTTCAAACCACTTTGAAACTCCTACAAAATTGACCATACTTGATTTGATGTGGTTGCCTCCGCAATCCATTAGAAAATAGTCTCATGGACTACTTGTTGGAGAATGAACAATGCTTTGGCATCCCTTTTCTTAGCTTCTTTTAGCGTTTCCTCCTTTTCTTCATTGGGTTCTAATATATCAACGAACCCATACTCCACCAAGTCCCACAACTTCTACGAGTTGAGCAATGTCTTCACCTTAATGCCCAACCACTCATACTTCTCACCATTGAAAATCAGTATGAGTGGTTGTGAGGAAGAAAAACTAACTGCTGCCATATATCACTTTTCAAAATCAAAAAGAACACTTTCTCTTGTGTTTCTCTTAAATACCCAATACACCCAAGTGTTTCACTTTTTTGCCCAAAAGACCGAAGCCTCGCTTTGATACCAAATTTGTTGGGAAAAAGGTAAAGACAAAGAGACAATACAAACAAATAGAAATAAAGTTTTTACGAGATACTTTATTACTTGATGGCAGATTATTTAAAAGACAACGTGAAATGCCTATATATATAGGCCTACATCAAAACAAACGGACCAAAGCTTTCGGATCACTCCGTCGCTTGCTAATGTCTACTACAGCTAGTAGCCCACTACATAATTGACTAAAATAAACTTATAATTTTTCGAAAACTACTAACAACACATGACCTCAAAACTTTGTCTAACCAAAAAAAACCTAGTCAATCTTTGAATCATGTCTCAACAATTTTTTCCCATGGATATGGAGAATGGAAAATTGTACTGGAAAAAAAGTAAAAGAATTCGAATGGTAACTGCTCAAGTGGCAGGATAAGTTATTGGATAAACCGATAAAGAAGCAGTTTGGAAGGGGGCAGGAGATTGGTACATAGATACATTGCGTCTCGTGCTCAGGTTTCAGACTGTATTTCAACACTGCTTTGCACCCATACCTTCTGTTTTGGCACGATACGTTTGCTGATTCAACCACTTTCTCAATGGCCTTGCAAATTGTTATTACGGAGATAAAATTGCAGCAAGGGCATAAATTCTGATGCTAACCGCTGCAGGGTGAGCAAGCTAGATGCCCGTTCACACACTAAATTGGCATACAAGCACATGAAATTAAATTGTTAGAATTATATATACAAAGTATGGCATGAAAAGAAACTTTTAGAGGTAACATTATGCAAGTTCAGAAACTCGTTTTTTGTTAAAGAAAGTTGTGTCATGCAAATTCGAAAGGACAGCAGATTCATCAATTTGTTTTGTCACTAAGAAAAAAATCCATTAGGAACTACCACAGAGGCTTGAACACAGCCACGCGGGGCTTGCAGATATCATATGTTTTCATTTTCTTAAACTAGAAATTAATTCTCAGCAACATCAGAATTTCTGACTTCCTCTAATCTTTAACCTAAAGAAAACCTAGCTAACAACTAAAGATGGTTATTCTCGGACAAAAATGAACATCATCTTCGACACTTGTTTAGGTCACCTTTGAAACCCTATTTATATGGGGAAAAACACTGCTTTTAATTAAACTGGCTTCTCCTAGTGACTTCGCACAATATAGCAAGAATTTATTGGTATGGAAACTACACAGAAGAACATTATGAACCCACAATTTAATAAATCTTTTTTTGGCAAAAAAATTTCTCCATAACAAGCACAGAAGGAATATTTTGCTTTCTTTTATGTATCATTTTAGTTTATTGTCACTTCCTAGCTGCCAGTTAAGAGGAAAACAAGAAAACCAAAAGGGGACGAAGTGAACAGACCTGAAAAAAGGAATGGTTAAGGGATTTTAGCAAACAATTCAATCAAGCAGTTTTGGGTTGGTTAGTGTCAAAGAAATGGACGCAGAAAAATCCGCTTCTCCATGCACTTTTTCCACCATCTCTCTCTTTCACTCTCCCTTTCTCCTTTCGTGTTTTTGTTATGCCCTACGTGTTCTCATTCCCCAGATTTATATCCGAAAATCTCTTTAACTATAATATAGGGCAAACCACAATCATCCTTTATGCATAATCAAATTATAAGCACTATCCCTAAAATTGTATATTTGACAAAAAAGGTCCTCAATGTTTAACAAAATGTTAAAAGCAATACAATAGAGCTGAACACAAATTAAGAAGGCGGAATAATTATTTATGCTCTTTTAGTTGAGAAACAATCTTATACAGTACATGCACTTGAATTGCAAAATCAAACGCAAATCAAGAAAAACAAAATCTAGCATATGCTTCACCCTTCAACAAACATCATTACTGGTATGCTGTAGGACATTCACCAGCAGGCCATATGCAGAGATCCATGATGATGCCTTCGTTAGCACCAAAGAACTCCCTGGGAACTAGAAGAAACCCTTGTGAAGGAGTTCTATCAACCCTGCTTTGGATGTTCTTTGTAAAAGATTGGAACTTGAGATTGCTTCCTTCAGTCTTTGCTGTAAGTTCAACGAAGTATCCTGATCCCTTCATGGATGAAGGCCCTAAACAACTAACCATGATTACATGCCCAAGCACTTCTTTTCTATTGTGGACAATGAATATAACACCTCTCTTTTCTTGAATGACAAGAGCTTTTTCAGTCATGGTGAAGAAAATAGGGAAGGTGGAACCAAATTGGAAGGATATTGCACAATCTACATGGTCGCTGCAATGATGTTGGTACACCTGATTTGATGAGCCGATGAAGTTGCAAAGTGGCTGAGGGCATGAACATGGAGCGAAGATGCAAGCCTTATCATGGTCATTTTTCTTGATGTAACATACCGTTTCTTGGCAACCATACTTCATATTTGGACATGATATGTTGATTGCTTCAAGAACCTTCTCAATGAAGGAGCATCTATTATTGCCAATAGGCAAAGAGCAGGAAGAACATTTGTTTGCAAGCTTTTCCAAGCAACAAGAGCAAGCTGTATGTCCATTGTCACACTGAAATAGTCATCAAGCAGACAAAATTATGGACCTTATAACATGTTACAGAAGGAACATTAACAAGGAATTAAAAGATTGGAAATTAGTACATAAGAAACCATGAATACGAGGGGCCAAAGAGGACGAACCAGAAAGACAGGAATGCTCAAGGGTTGAAGGCACATGACGCAGTCGAACAATTTTGGGTTCGTTAGGGTGAAAAGAAACGACCCTTCTTCAAAATTTTGATCCATTTCCATCTCTTTTTCTAGGTTTTTTTGTACAGTACCATTTTGGACTACAGAACTCCTATGCATTTATCTTCCGAATTGTGATTGTTAGATGCTCCTGAGATTAATTCCACCTCTCTCTCTCTCTTTCAGTCGATCCTTTCTTCACAGCTACTCATGTAAAGGTAGTACTCCCAAGTCTCTAGAATCTTGTTTGTTTCTACTGCGACTTTCCGTTTCCTGTATGATTCAAATTATAAACAAACTTGGAATTCTGAAAAGACTTCAATTTTCAAAAGCTTGCGGCTGCCTTGCAAGAGACACTAGTACCGAAGCATTTGCGCTTGTGACTAGGCATTTGCCATAAGGCTATGACCTTTTGAATTTATGCTAATTAACAGGACTGTTGAGCTTCACAAAGTCTCTACCTGACGATAAGTAACACTTGAAAATGGAACCTATTTTTTGCCTCACTCTAGCATTAATTATCCCTGCTCCCAATGGCTGCTTTATTAAAAGAGAAAGGATGAGACTATGTACAAAAACATAAAAAAGGATAAAACATTGTTAAAGCTAAATTAATTATCAGAAGAAGCGTGTCCAAAGACTAAAATCATGCAACAATAGCGGGATATAGTTTTCATTTTCTTATAGATTCTACTAAAGTTTTTTACCCACACTATGTTGTAGGTTGGATAGAACATGTGAAAATAATTTAAAAGTCATTTGAGTTTAATGTTAATTGTTTGTGATATGTTATGGGTCCATAAAAATATATGAAATCAAAAGTAAAAAATAATAATAATTCAATTTTATGATATTTTAATCAATTTTTTATATTTAATTATTATGTCTTAGCTACCCAACCGTTGTTTTTAGCACTCATTTTTAACTTTTAATTTTTCATGGCTTTTCCCAAAAAAAAAAAAAAAAAAAAAAATCAAAGAAATTTCATTTTAAATATTTTTATTCAGTCAATTTTATTTATTCAAAATTAAAATTTTATATTAGCTTTTATGAATTTTTATAATTTTTGTGAGTTAATTCTGAGCATAAAAAAACAGAAAAAGGAAAAGAAAATAAAGAGAGGAGAAAAGAAAAGAAATAAAAAGGAATAAAAAAACATAAGGGTGTCAATTAAAACAATTGATAAAATATGGAACAAAAAAGTTTAATTGGGGAGCATAATTGGAAGAATTGAAACCCAATAGCCTTTAATTGCAGAAAAAAAAAAGAATTAAAAGAAAGGGGCAGAAATAACCTCTATTAGGGACAAAATTGAAAAACAATAAGGGAGTACCATCTCATAATGAAAAATTTGCACAACATAAGGGACTAAAAAGGAATTTAACTAGCAACCCAAAACACTACATATAAAACCCTTTTTCTTTCCCATTCTCTTCTCTTTTCTCCAGTTGGCCCTAACCTTTAGAAAAATTCTCTATCTTCCCGCCACCACTATCATCATTGCCGTTCAACACCCATAAATAACAATCTCTACCAACCTTAAGCCCGAATAGCCACCCTATTATCTAGCCATGCCATCCTCTCTTTGAACCCACCTGCCAAAGTTTTCCTCGCCATACTTCAAACCACAAAACCCACCTAAACCCACCACTCCATCACCTAAACAACTCATCAATAGATTTTACCAATTCAAATTTCTAGACGTAAGTTTCTATACTTAAAGAATTCATTTCTTTTTATTTTCTTTGGTTTCTCTCATTACCAATTCCTTCCTTTAGTTTTTTTTTTCCTTTCTTTCTCTCTTTAAATCTAACATAATAAAGATTCTTTCTTCTTTAAGTTCTTAGTTTCGGGTTTAGAACACCCTATTCATTAATTTATAAGAAAAAAAGCCCTCCAATTTATTTATTTAATAAAATTTAGCAACCTCTTTTCGTTGAATTCTCTCTCATTTCTTTTTTTTCTCTATAAAAATGATCTCATTTCTATAGTTATTTCTATCTATCAGCTTGTTTTTCTAGAAATGATTGAGCTAAATTGCCTCGGTTTAGGTATAACCTTCGCTTGGTATAAACTATTGCTTTATGTATGGTCAGGTTAATGATAGGTCCGGATTTCTCGGTGTATTGGAGAAGGTCTGGTGTGTTTTTGGATCAATAAAAATTTTGATAGTAGATAATATGTTAACCTATGCAATAGATGATTTCTTGTTGGATTGATTCACACGTTAATCTGAATTTTAGATAGCATTAGAAATATGAAGAAATGATAGAAGACATAAACATCTAGTAAGGCAAGACATAGAGGGCATATTGAATGGCTAAAAGATACTTAAATTAATGAAAACACCATTGATTTAAATCACAAAAATGCCACTCGGTGAATAGTTATTTGAGTCTATGAATAGTGTAGCAACGAGGAAAACCATCACATGATTTAGAGTTCTTCGTAATGTGCTTACTATTTTTAGATTTCATTTTTGCTAGATAACAACTTTCTTCTTAAATTAATCTAATATGGATTTTTATAAACCAAAAAAAGCATTTACTAAATTCATATGACAAAACATAAACTTAAAATTGTTAATAAATCCCTTCAAGTAAAGATGGATTTAATTTTTTCAGCTATAGAAAAAGGGAAATATTTAATATGTGAATTTTGAAAAAACTCCAAATATTATTTAACCATTAAAAAGAATAAAATAAAATAATTTTGATAAAAAAATATATTAAAAATAAAAATTAATTTAAGTTAGACAAAAAGTTAAATAAAAATAATAAAAAATATCTATTCTAAACACAATTTGATTGTTATGAAAGAAAATCTATTATTTTTCCAATAAAAAGCTTGAAATGAACAAAAATTTAGATTGAATCAAGATTTTACAAATTAGAAACACAAGCATAACATTTCCAACAACTCATTATTTTATTTTTCTTAACGTATTTATAGGATTTTTCACAAAATTAATTTAAGAATTGAAAAATAACAAAAAAATAAAAAATAAAAACTAATAATGTAATTGTTTGAAAAAATAATCGTCAATGTAGAGAAAAAAGAATATAAATATGGAATGTTTATTACCATATTGAGTAAATAAACCCTAAATTTAAAACTAGTGCCTTATATTTTGTTATTTTTATATTTAATTTTTTTATGTTTTTTAAATATTATATTTATTAGAATGATATTAATATTAATTTTGAATCGGATTATTATTAAACCAGATTGAGATAGATTGATATTTGATTCATTTAATAGACAGATTAATAAATTTAAATCATAATGAGATACATATTATAAAAATTATATATTAAATTCATTTAATTATGTGATTGTGCCAAGTATCGGTGGACATGAGAAAGAGAGAAAGCTAAGTGGAGATATCAAATTCAAGGCAGCATTGATACAAGAAACTAATAGTAAGAATTTCTATAGATAGTCATTAGTTTTTTTGCCAACACTACACAATTTCAATTAGCAAAACATATCAAGAAGATTGATGAAGAATGTCATTTTGAATCATGTAAGATTGAAAAGACTAAAAAAAATATTCTTTGGCATTATCACTTCTTAATGTATGCACAAAAACAATAAATTGTGTTTTGATTTCAACACAAAAAGCACAAAAATAGGAAAACAACTCAGAATGATTTTTTATTATATATAGCCAAGTTTAATAAGGGGCTGAGATGAGAGAAAAATACAAAGTAAAGTAAAAAAAAAAAAAAAAAAAAAAAAAAAAAAAAAAAGGAAGAAGAAGAAGAAGAAGGAAGAATTCATTCTATTTCAATGTGTTTTGTTAATTGTTAGTGCTAACGGAAGAAAAATAGAGAACAAAAGAAAGCGAAAAAAAATTGTTGTACCACCATGAATTCCTAGCATTAAATTCTATAGAAAATAAATAAGTAAAGTTACAAAAAAAAGGCTTAAAATGCGAAAAGAAAAAAGAACAAATAGAAGACCAAAAAGTAACACCACATCCACATAAATGACAAAAAAGAAATTAGCATACAATAGAAGGGTGATGAGTCAAGAATTTGGTAGGAACAATATTGCAATGCAAAAGAAGGCAAAAACACATTAAATATTTCCTTGTAAAAGCACACCATGGCCAGATTAAAAGACAGAGGGCAAGAAACGTTAGATGCAAAAAAGGAACAACAGTTCAGATGCATGTAAGATGCCAGCCTAGTCGAAATGAGCGTTGTTCCACAATAGAAATCAGTCACAAAACAAATGAATAGTAAACACTTTAGTTCTTTTAGTATTTTTTTGTAATATATATATATTAAAAATTATATAAATCTATTTTTTCAAAGAAAAAAATTCAAGTTCTAAAAATTTCTTCCAAAATTCGTACATAGAGAAAAATAAATCAAAATTATCAGTAAATATAATTTTAAATTAATTGGATGAGAGTTTTGAAAAAAAATGACAAATTAAAGTAGTAAATTTTAAATACTAAAAGTAATATAATCTAAAATATATGTTCAATGTAAATTATAAAAATATATAATATATATCTCTTTCTTGTGAGGTTGAGTGGAAAAAAAATAATGATCGAATTTTCACATTTAATTACAAAAAAATTAATAATAAAAAAAGTCATTGGGAAAAAAGAGAAAAAGAAGACAAGCAAGGCCCATGCGAGCGAGTTTTAAAAAAACAAACTATGCATTTTTTTTTCTAGAATGAGGCCTTGTCGTAGCTTTCTCTCTCCACCTTTGTCTTCTTTTGTTTCTCTCTCATTTCTAAATCCGGGGACCAAATTGCAATACAAATAAAGCTTGAAATCGAAACAAAAAAAAATATATAAAAAATTAAGGATCAAAGTATAATATTGCTAAATGCATGAATGCTTGCATACCAAATGCCTCAAAATGTCTTGAAAATCACAACAATGCATGTAAGATGCTACCACGAGTGAAATGAGTGTTGTTCCACGATAGAAATGAGTCACAAAACACAATAAATGAATAGTAAAC